AATGAACACATGCTTAAGGTGGTGTTGGAGGAAGAAGATGGATTTAAGACTACCCGAGGTGACAATAAAAATGCAGTTCCTCCAAGCATTGCAAGGGACAAATCATCTTGTGTACAAGTATCAAGGGACAAATCATCTTGTGTACAAGTATCAACAGAGTGGGAATAAATGACTGCGACTCGTGGTTCTATGTAACATTAAGTCTCAAAAGCTGTGATTTTATACTGTGGTACTTAAAAGTAAAAGGTAACTAACACAGTGTATATGCACTTGAGATTCTTTAATACAGCTTCTAAATGTGTACAAGTTATCAATCAGCCATTCCTCAAGAACAAAACGTACTGAAACATGCTCCGAGCACGGTATATTTCCTGGAATTTCAGTTTTTTTTAGCCTTGTCTCAGATTTCCATTAAATTTCTCCACCGTTAAGTAAACCCACCCCCTCAGTCTGTCCCCATCTTATTTAAGACAAGCGTTCAGGCAAAACCATAAAGTGCAGTCAGTATCTTACATGCAGTCAGACTAATTTTATCTTGAAGAATCTGGGAGAAGTTCTTGTGTGAGCAGCTCAGAACAGTTTATTTAGTTATGTCATCAAAAGCAACTCAAAGAGGTTTCATGAGTTCAAGCAAAGGCTATACTGTTTTTGCACCCTCTAAGGTGTACATGTGTGTAGATGTGCATTAACCCTGTCGTTAGCAAATCAAGATGGCCATGACAGCTAATTGACACATCCATAATATAGACATAGAAGTGATTGTGTTCAAGACCAACTCAAAATGTACGCCAAGCACTAACAGATCCATCAAGACCTGTTTTTAAACTTTGCAATAAACTGTTAGAATGAACTCTGTTTATCTGTTAGCAAAATATTTCCTGATCCACAGGATAGATTTGAACGTGAGATCTTTCTTAAAACCTCTGCCATGCAAGAATGAATGCTGCTTTTGTTATAAACGCAAACACAATTCTGAGAGAGAGATAACAACCACCTGTGGGTTCAGCTTTTTAGTAGCTATAGCGCTAACACAGTTAGCAACGCAAATGTTTGGTTGCCAAAACAACAAAAACTTAAGCTTTCTCATAGAAAGGTAAGTTGTTTAAGATGGCAGGATCTTGCTCTGATAAACTGTAATTATGACTCTCCCATGCATTTTTTTTCTCATGTTTCCACAAATTGTAAGCTGTCTGACTATTGTCTATTGCAGGTAAGATACTGACAGCTCACTACTCCACGCAACACATTAAAACGTGCTACACCCCCTAAGAAACACGTTTGAACATCTATAAACATCACAACCTGGTAAAAAGGAAAGTAATCACTTCACAGATTTGTTGGAAAATAAAATAAAAATAATAACAAATATTAAGACAGGGGGAAAAAAATCCAGTTTAAAGTGTAATAACAGCAACAATTTTATGTTTTCTCATTCACCCTTTCCTCCTATAGTTTTTTTTTTTTTTTTTTGGCCATTGGTCATTTAAAGAAAAGAACAGTTATAAAATAAAACAAAAGCAAATATTGTATTTGTTGATTTTTTTTTTAATTGAGTCAATCCTGCTGTTTAATTATCGACCCCAGAGCTGCTAAAATGATAATTATGAGCACAGAATAGATTTCTGGCATGAATTTTCTACATCCTATGTGTAGCGCAAACTAAAACCTGTTTATGTAACATGAGAACAAATTTATAGAAGATAAGAGAATGGTGTGAGACAAAAAGATGGGATTTTACAACTAATCTCTTAAAGCAAAGGAGCTACAACTTCTGATGTAATTATTCATACCCCAGATGTCTTCATTACCTTTATTAGCTAATGAAAAGATAATATGGCAACATACGCTGCTTTCTGAAGCAGTCAGGAGTCCTGGATTTATTGACCTATAGTCCAAAGGAACAAAATGCATGACCCTGAATAAACAGAAACCTCATGATTTATTTTACTGTGCTCATGTCACATGTCCGTGTCCTGCAGAGGTACAGTCTGGTGTAAGAAATCATCGTTTCTTTCTGTGGCACGCTGCTGGAGTGATTTACAGCCAGCAGGTGGGACGGAGCCGTAAGATGAGCGAAGTGAAACAGCATAAAGAGACAAAGTATGAATGTGAAAATGATGTGTGAAAACATGTTTACCAGATGTACCTAATCTCTTTACAAACTACCACAGATGACTAATCACCAAACTCCACAATGCTTGGAAATCCAGAGCTTTCACGCCATTATGGTGAGATTATGATCAGATTTTCACATTATTAATTAAAACTAAGATCAAAATCTCAGAAGGCGAGATGGAATAATAACTTTCTTTCTTCCAATTTTCATCTCTGTTTTCTAACAGGCGATGATTGTCAGGCTCTAAAGCACAAACAGCTGATTGACTGACTTACGCTCCAACATGACCCGTCTGAGCAGGACTTGAAAGAGATAGAACTGAAAAGCATGTAAGTCCTCAGAGAGAGGAAAAATCTGATCTTTGATTAACATTTAAAAGAAGAACAGAAAAACTTCAGACCTCGGCTCACTTCCTGGAATTTTAAAACTGAACTGATTCAGAGGAAACAAACAGGGTTCAAAATATGAACAGGAAAAGCAAAGGTCCTCACATTTCACTGGAAATATACTAAACATATCCAGTGTATTTATATTTAAATATATAAAAAAATTCATCAAGGTATGAATGCTAACAGACACACATATGCATTTATATATATATATATATATATATATATATATATATATA